CTCCCGTGGCGGTGGGGCCGGTCATTGGTGGTGCTCTGGCCGCTTCTCTCGGATGGCGGGCGATCTTTTGGTTCTTGGCCATCTACTGCGGTGTATTCCTCGTCGTATTGATCTTTTCACTACCGGAAACCCTCCGGTCGAGTGTGGGCAACGGGAGTGTCATCCCATCGAGCGTAATCACCAGATACCCCTTACGTCTCTACCAGACGCGCACAACGGTCAAGTACCACCCACAAACACCACCGGCCCAGGCCGCCAAGAAGGGCGGGATCGACATCACCGGTCCGATCCGCATCTTATTCAGCAAGCAGGCTGCACCGGTCGTTCTCTGCTTGGCCATCTACTATGCTGTCTGGCAAATGGGCATAACAGCCATGTCAGCTCTCTTCGCGAGCCGCTACAATCTAAACGAGACACAAATCGGGCTAACATTCATCGCCAATGGCGCGGGCTCCATCATCGGTACGCTGGTCACCGGTAAGATCCAAGACATGGACTACCTACGCGTAAAATCCAATCACGAAATCCAACGAGTGCAATCCGCCACCGGCGGGACCGTAATCCCGTCGGCAACAGACTACGACCCAGTAGACTTCCCCCTCGAAAAAGCCCGTTTACGTCTCCTCCCTTTGCTCGCACTCCTCCAATGTGGCGCCGTCGTCGCTTTCGGATGGACCATTCAATCCCACGTCCACATCTCTGTACCCATCATATTCACGTTCGTCACGGGCTGGACGGCGATATCTATCGTTTCCATGGTGACGACTTATCTCATTGATATTTTTCCCGACCAGAAGGCTGCTGCGAGCGCGAGTTTGAATTTAGCTAGGTGTTTACTAGCTGCTGCTAGCACGAGTGTCGTCACGCTTGTCATCGGTGCTCTGGGCGTGGGCTGGACGTTTACGATTGCTGCTGCGGTGCAGCTTGTTGCCCTGCTGGGGGTTGGGATACAGTTACGGTATGGAAAGAAGTGGCGGATAGAAGCTGAGCAGGCTCGGAAGCAGGCGCAGGAATGAGAAATAGAGAAGAGAAAAAGAAGAAGACTTTTTTCTTAGAAGGGTCGGAACCCATGAGAGATGCGATATTTACATCGAGAGTTATATACACTTATATTTATATCATTAGAATAATACGAATAGGAGACGGTATTGGTCAGATAAAAAGGTTGGGTGTAGTTAGATAGCAGTTATGAACTAATATTTACGTCGAATATGGGAAATGACATATGACCCCAAGGCGAGCAAGAATATCACAATACGACATCATGATACCTACATCTCTGTCAATCGACCTACATCCATAATGAAGCAAAAGCAAATACTTACTTACCTAGGTAGACAACTTAGAATCCTTCATTTAGGGCCACAATACCCAACTAGTAGGCCGGTGTCGACGACAATGTGAACAATATACACGGCTCTGCCGCCTCCGAAAGCCAGTCAGTCCTTCACCTCCGTTTTACTCACCACCTAAGGTGAGTTCGAAGCCGACCATCCAGTACCGAGACAGAAGAAAGACTGCCGACAACGATGGGATCGACACGTACGATTTCCATTTTCCAGTCAATGATGACCCCGACAAAATATTAAAACATCAACATAATATCACATATCACATTCACATCAAGAAACTCAATTCTTTTTTTTTTTTCAATAGCAATAAAGCCTTTTCTATCTCTGCATTAACCCTACGGAACCTTTTCATCTCTGAACTATCCTCCCCCTACGAAGGTAAAAACATGGTAATTGTTCCTGCAAGGTGAAAGCAAACGTATGGACTTCCATGGGATCTCATGTCAACGTAACTGAACCGGACTTTCCCTCCTTTTTTGGGGAGGGGGGGGGGGGTTGTTCTTAGCTGCCAGAGCGAGCAAGCGAACCTCAACTCTGCAAAAGTGAGAGAATCAATCTCCTCCCCAGAATCTCAAACGAAGAAGGTACCTTATTTGTTTGCCAGCTCGTGTGCAGCCATGGATACCAACGACAACAACCATGATCATCACCCTCAGTGTGGTAGAGAGAGAATGGAACGCAATGCATCTCAAGTGAACCCCCCCCCCCCGAGTAGACCGAGTAAAATGCCTCAAGGTCCTATTATCACGATGGAGAGATAGCAAACTCAACCATCTACCAGAACGGTTTGCCATGTTGCTGAGGCTTGAGATCCGGAAGCAGCTTGCCACTAGCATCCTCGACCCAACCCGCAGGGGTCGTCTTCGGAGGCTCAACATACTCGTGGCGGGCTTTGGGACCATCTTTGTTAGGTCTGTAGAAGGCGCTCGTCTTGACCGGGATCACTTTCTTCTTCTTGTTGAGATCGTCCCAGGCAGCGACTTTGATGGGGCCCCATTCGCTCATGAATACCTTGCCACTGACGGCTTGCTCCGAATCTTTACGGGTCGCAGGGTTAATCGGAAGGTTCCAAGTGGCAGTATTGTCGTAGTCGTAGGCGGGCGCGCCATCGTTAACAATAGTTGGTTTCTTCGGGACAGTTTGAGTACCATTACCGTGAGCATCAGCGTTACCAGCGGTAGCGAGACCTTTCTTGACTGGGGCTTTGACGCCCGTGATGTCGTCGCTTTCGAAGATGAGCTTTGCAATCTTGTCGCCAGATTGAGGATCCGCGGCATACAGCTGCCAAGCGTTCAAAGGCTTCACCGATGGCTTGTCCTCAATATCAACCTGGCAATCGTCGTTCACTCGTTTATCGAGTTCGTTTTGGCCCTTTATGTAGTCGGATGCTCTAATAGTTCTGCCACCATCGGACTCGGTCTCGACAGCTTGGCCTTGGGTGCCAGCGTCAGCGTGGCCATCCTTGAATGGTCCAATGTGGACCTCGGTGATGGCGCACTGGCTCATGGCATCGTCAAGCTGATCCGAGTTAGCATCGGAGAATGCACCGCCGCGAGGATTTGGGGGTCCATCCGTGTTGTCGAGATAGGTGTCGGATTGGTCGCGCTCCGAAGTGCCATTATATATCCAGGCGGGACCGTTCTTGTTCCGGGATGCCTCCTCTCTTTTGAGGACAGCTGCCAACTCCTCCTCGCCGATGACTCGGATGGAGTATTCGCAGCTATAATTCTCCCGATATGGCTTGAGTCTGGTGCGTGGCTCTGCGACCTCGGCCCACGTTGAAGCAGCGTCTGCAGTCGTAACCCATTCATATTCGAGCTGCGTACGAACTATGTAAGAAAAAGGGGTCAGTGGTGAACCGGAACCGTGGGATTGCTCTGGCGTTTGCCGGGGGGGCATGAAGGACAGATAGATTCTGGGAATACGTACCATGATTAAGCACATCTTTGCAGTGCTTATTCAAGTTGACATCACTATTGAACAGGTATTCCAGGAGCTGCATCTGTGAGTTAGTTTTGTTCTTGAAGAGGGCACATACTACAAGTGACAGCACCTACGATGTTGAACATTTTATACGTCAGGGTGTTCTGGTCAACATCGACCGTCATCGTTTCCAGGAGCTGCCGAATCGGCGCCTTGACATCCTCGGCGGCATCTGCCGCGTCCAGCAGAACTTTGATGACGCATTTATTCATCTTCAGGGCAGAGGCCTTTTGGCCCGCGATATCGCCGTCGGCCATTGCTGCGATGAACCTGAAGGTCAACAAGCGAAAGCCTGAAGAGCTCAAGGCGCAGGAGGTTTCGAGGTTTCGAGGTTTCGGGAGAAGATAGGATTTGAGGGATTTTGAAGGAGGAAGAGGGGAGGTCTCAACGGGGAAAAAAGAGACGAAGAGGAGAGAGTGGTGCCAGGGAAGAAGAGATCAGGTTAAATAGAACCTGTGGGAATGAAATGAAGTATTAGGCCACGGTGGGCTAGAAGTACCCGTAAGGTAGCCCGTAAGGTGCCAGAAAGAGGCAACTAAGTAGGGCAGTACATCATTGTCGGCGATCCTAGACGGCGACCTAGATGGCGATCCTGGACGGCGATGATTTGCGCGAAGTTGGAGGCATTTGTGCGGAACACAACTTTACGCGGGGCCGTCTTTACGCAAGTGTGTCGTTCCATGAACAGAGCAGACATGAGCCAGATTTCCCACCTCACCTTCATCTTCATCATCTTCACCCTATTCTGCCTTTCCTACAAAGTCGCCTTTGTCACGAACCCCGCGGGTTAACAGAAGGCGATGAGTCTTGGATGGAGATCCTTGAGTGAACCGCGTGGCATCCGACCCAGGATACCCACTTCGTTTTCGAAGTCATCTGAATGAACCAAAGCCACCAGCCCTCCAGGAGGGCAAGGAAGACAGTATTGTCTAGAAGAGTCTGGCTGACCTATCTTAAACGAGAAGGCGATGTGATGTGTTGCGCACGACTGATCTTGACCGCCATCAGTAGTGTGGAGTTCAATTCTTCAAGCTCATCTTGGGCCTGTCAACGTTTTCGAGACCAGCGCTGTGGTCACACGAAACGGCGCCGTTCAGATCTTCCATGTCGTCCACCAAGACCACACCTAGCGGTCCTCAGTCGATGCCCTTCGAAACCGACTAAGCCTTTGCGGTATCCGACGGTTATGAAAGAAAGGCATCACTTAGACTAAAGAGGGCGTCTGTCAATGACTGACTTGTGGTGGTGATTCTCCCGTGACCGCGACCTCTTAGGCGTCATTTAAGCATTTCCCCTATTGTTGGAGGGGAACAGTTGTGATGTGATGTTCATGGGTAACTTTCACGTTGACCCTACAGTCCCCCCTACAGTCCCCTCTACAGGCCCCCTACTTAACGATCATTCACCCAGGGGCGTGAACCCCTCTCCATGGATCAAAGCGGCCGAGTGATGCAGTGGGCCGTTCGGTAGGGCTAACTAATGGATTGCACTGTTGCACTGAAGCATGAGGGGAAGTTCCGACGGGACTCCAAAAAGCAAGGTAGTAATTGAAAGGAAGTCACCAATCCAATCCACTGGACCACTGGATAATCTGTTCACCGTGCGAGTCCAGCAACTCCATTCATATCACAAACGAAGCTCCGACATCGCCTCAATGTGCAAAAATGTTTCCGCCCGGGATTGAACCGGGGATCTTCTGTGATCCAACTTTCCGATCTTTGGAGTGTTGCCCCAAGAATGGAGTTTGTAAGACAGACGCCCTAACCACTAGGCCACGAAAACTCAGCATCAACCAGCTTACCTAATTGATTGTCGTTCCATAGTGCTACGCTACTTAGTATAGGGCGAGTTGTCAATCAATCCCCCACCTCGGACGACCTCGGACGACCTCGGATGACCTCGGACTTCGGGGAGAGTGGAATAGGCACGGGTAGGCGACTCTGGAGCAAGAGGTGTCCTACCTACCACGAGCATCCCAGAATCTGGGTAGAACCACCGTCTGTAGGCAGCTGTCGAGTGATCTCAACAAGCACTTGGTTATCCCAATGGTATGCATTCTAATATCTGGACGCATCTCGTCGAGGCATAATACACTACATTCTCCGCCAAGCTAGCCTTGCTAGGTTATGGGGATGCCTACCTATGGAGATGTCTGCCATTTTACAGCTCCAGAAACCCACTCAGTTTACCTGCAGTCGAGGGATCGATCGACCGACAACTGGCAGGCAGGAAGACAATGCCAATTCATTATGGTTTGATAATCGAATTTAACCGGCGCTCATGGCTTCGTTGGTTAGCCTGATCCGGTTACTTCTACGCAACTACCAGTAGGTACACGATAATGCGCCCGTGAGAAGCTCTGATTCTAGGCATCGTGCCAGCTGTAACGTCCGGTTACGTATCAAAATGCGGGATATTGACTAGGAGATCAGCTCCCCAATATAATAGGTTGTGGCACCAGTGATTTCAAACAATTCTCACCTTGGCTCAAAAGCTCCCCTCCTCCGCGTGTCATCTCACCTCGGAATCCAAACCCCTAGGAATCGCTACAAAGGTCTTGCACCTCGTCCGATCGTCCGAGTATAGATCATCCACAGTTATACAGTTATTCTCTTCCTTTTTTTACGCTGGTAGATTCCATAAGAATGGCCGGAATAAACGGGAAGTGCACTCCGCAGTTCGAGAAAGTCCGCTCTCTTTTCGCGGAGTTCCTCGAGTCACAAGACGAGGTGGGCGCTTCTATCACCGTCAATATCGACGGCGAGGACGTCGTAAACATCTGGGGCGGCTATGCGGACCAGGAAACCAAGCAGCCCTGGGTCGAGGACACCATCGTCGGCGTCTTCTCCTGCTCCAAGATGGTCAGCGCTCTCGCCGTTCTCATGCTCATCGATAGCGGCGCCGTCTCGGCCTACGAAAAAGTCTCCAAGTACTGGCCCGAGTTCGCCGCCAACGGAAAAGAAAATGTCGAGATTCGTCATCTGCTTTCGCATACCTCTGGCGTCGCCGGGTGGGATGAAAAGGTCACCATGGATGAGATCTGCGACCCCTCCATCACCACAGCCAAGCTGGCTCCTCAGGCCCCGTGGTTCGAGCCGGGCTCGGCATCGGCATACCATTGCTACACCTACGGGCATCTACTAGGCGAAATCGTGCGCCGGGTGACGGGGATGAGCCTGAAGCAGTTCATTGCCGAGAAGATCGCCGCACCCCTGGCTGCCGATTTCCAACTCGGCGTCTCCGAGAAAGACTTGCCTCGCGTTAGCCACCACGTGATGGCACCTGTGGCCGGGCCTCCAAACTTCACGCCTCCTCCCCTATTCACCAAGGCCATCAGAAACCCCACCATGCAACCTAACATATCAAAGTACCCCCCATGGCAGCGAGGCGAGAACGGCGCTGCCAACGGATTTAGTAACGCCAAGGCTTTGAACAAGATATTTTCCACCATTACCCTTGTGGGCACCGAGGGGGATAAGCAGCTGTTGTCGAAATCCACACTCGATCTCATCTTCCAAGAACAGTCCAACGGCGTGGATCTCGCCATAGGCATGCCCATACGCTTCGGTATCGGGTACGCCCTGAAAGGCGATGGGGACTGGGCTAGCTGGATGCCGGCGGGCGACATTGCTTACTGGGGCGGAGCAGGTGGATCGCTGGGTATAATGGATGTCGGTCGCAAACTCACCATCACGTATGCTATGAATAGGAGGGATCCCCTGGCGATGATAGGGAACAGGCCCGGTAGGGCTTATGTTGGTGCCGTCTACGAGGCATTGGGAGTCAACATTCCAAAACCGTTGTTGTAGGCGATCAAGCTTGGTCAGGGTCGTAACATTAGTTATGACAGAAGTTGTGGTCAGTCTTGAGCTGCGATACCGGTAGCTAAAAGACGCTGCTTGAATAAGCCAATACCTAGACCTGCTCGAAAACGAGGCTCGTTCCTAGCTGTTTAAAGACCCGTAGTGAGGACGGATCCTTTACGATTAACTGTTGTAGGTAACCGTTATAAAGTGCCATTCTCAGCCACGGATGACTGGACTGGACTGGACTGGACTGGACTGGACTGGACTGGACGAAGAAGCCAAAATACAGAACACGCTAAACCAGATCCAGCGTGTTTCAGAAATGTGGGTAACTAGCGTCACCATTGCGCCGGACCATCATTACGTAACTCCGCTTAACTTATAATACGGAGTTTATCTAGATCGATACGAAGTTGCAAGCATCGCCACAACAAGCAACGAAGGAAGGACTTCCACGCGCGGCGTAGACTAAGTAATACTAGATTCAAACTCCCGTCCCCTCGTAACTAATACACTTTCGCTTACAACCCAACAACAACACATTTCTCAACCTGCTTTCTGCCTTCATACGGAGGCACTATGGACAGGTAAACACTTTGCGACCAATAAACACCTCAATTGATCCATTTGGATCAAAGCCGGAGCTCCCGATTTAGGCCGTCTTACGGTGCTTACATACCACCTGCTCAAAAGTACGGAAGCAGTTCCTCAATCTCGATACTATACTCGACGACTAGGTACTCTTGCGATACACCTATCTATACCATAATTCCATTCGCAAAAGCCTTGTTCTTTAGACAATGCCATCCGACTACTCTTCTACAGCGCAGGCGCTGTCGATATCTCCCTCCCCGCCTCCCGCTCCCTCCCCCTCGTCGACGTCACCACTAAAGCCGTCCGTCAACGGCCGTCTACCACCATGGGCTCGCTCAACCCAAGGCCAGCGCTCCGACGATACCGGCGGTGATCTATTCGGACGACCCCGTCTAGCAGGCGCGCGCCGCTTATCAACGCCCTATTCACGAGCCGGTAACAGTGCCGCAGACCACGACCGGCCACTCGGGCAACGCATAACGGAAACCAGCATCGCAGCCATGAACAAACTGCTCAAGCTAGCTTACAGCATGACGCCCTTACAACGCCTCTTAGCCATCATCGTCGCCATTGTCGGACTCGCGCTCCTCATCGTCTTCCTCGTATTCTCGCACCGCATTTTCGTCGCGCTGCACCCTGTCGCCGAGGGCTGGCGGAAACTACCCGGTGGCTGGGCCCTGCTATTCCTTCTGTGCTCTATCACGGCGTTCCCGCCATTAGTGGGCTATAGCACGACCATCACCATAGCAGGGTTCATATTCGGGTTCCCAGGCGGTTGGCCCATAGTAGCAGGCGCCACCATTGTCGGGTCAACAGCCGCCTTCTTCGCCTCGAGGACTATTCTCAGCGGGTACGTGCACAGGCTCGTGGGCGAAGACAGACGCTTCGTAGCGCTCGGACAAGTCCTCCGACATGACGGACTCCTAGTCCTCCTCGCTATCCGTCTATGTCCTCTACCCTTCAGCTTAAGCAATGGATTCCTAGCTACCATACCTAGCGTTTCCCCGGGCATGTTCGCGCTCGCGACGGCGCTCGCGAGTCCGAAATTGCTCATCCACGTCTTCATAGGTGATCGTCTCGCCCAACTCGCCGAAAACGACGATATGCCTCTAAGCACACGCATCATTAATTACTTCAGTATTGTCTTCGGCATGGTCGTCGGTGTATCTGTCGGCTGGGTCGTCTATCAACGCACCATGCGGCGCGCGAACGAGTTAGCAGTCGAAGAAGCGCTGGTGAACGATAATGATAGTGTCGTATTAGGCGATGAACTAGATGTCGAAGAAGGTGTGCTGGGTCCCGCGCAGTCCAGACGCACGACGACGACGGCGCTAAATGGCGAGAATGATTTCCCTGCACTCATGGACGACGATGATATCTCGCTTTGGGATACGACTGCTGAAGAAGGAAATGACGATGATGATAGCCCCGATGTATATAGGGATGAAGAGGATAGTGATTCGAGACGTGCATAAGTTAAAAAGTCGTAAGGGGGGGGAGGGGTTTTCCCCCCCCTATACCGAGTTAACTTTTTCATTTACCTACTCGTTCCCCTCTTTCGAACTTGTAGGGGGAAAATTACATGGGATTCATTCACGTGCCGTGTACATTACAATAATTACTCGATAATCAAACTGTAGAGAAAGAAACTACCTACCCCCTATCAATCTGATCCAGAAAAAAAAGTAACAAAAAAAAATAAAATAAAAAAATTAATTGCTGGTGGTGGTTAATAATTATACGGTAGGGCCAGAAAGACAGGCAGGAAAGTTCACGGAATAGGACTACCTAAGGTAAGATACCTACCTACCTACCTGCCTACCTATCCAGGTCAGACCAGGTGAGGAAAGGAGATACCGTCAGTGAATACCCTACCTATCTAGATAGGGTAATAGAAAGCAAACCGGCGTTACGGGGTTTTCGATTTGATTCCTCCTCCCCTCCTCCCCTTTTCTTCGTCTTTTTCGGCTCTGAATATTCTACAAGGACATACATACATGCATGCATACTATACTCGGTGCCATAGAATTCATCATCACCGTCATCATCTACTCACATCATCAGATATCATGGTTTATCTTTCATTCTTTACTTTCTATTGTCTATAGAAAGAAGAGAGAGGAAAAGAGCAAGAGACTGGAACTCCTGACCTAACGTGCTGACCGACCTGACTCCAGACTGATGCACATTGAACACCGAATAACCATTACCATTACCATTACCAACACCCAACACCCAACACCCAACACCAATCCCACCGTGACCGTGACCATGCATCCCGCTTGCTATCGAATTTCCCCCATGGTATGGACTCATAAGAGCAAGAAAAAACAAGCAGAATTCTTTATGCGGCTCTAAACCATGCTTATGACATTCTACCAG